GTCTGAGGGACAGCAACCCGGCCCCCGGCTCAAAAAGGTTGCCGACCCTGATCCACAGCAACAATGATTATCCACAACCCACTACAACAACCACCCTACGTGTGTCCAGAGGCTTCTGCCATATATAGCCATGGCTCCACATGGCCTTCTGGCCCTGCTGGACACCTGTCACTCACCTGAGTGACTCTGCAGTTTTTCAGCAGTTGTACCTGAAAACAGACTGGTAGCCAGTGAAGCTGTGTGTTCCCTGTTGCCAGCCCCAGTTATCAACCTGGCTGCGACTTTTTGGACCAGTTGAAGTTTCTGAACACCAAAGGCAGCCCCATGTACAGTAACTGAACAGTACAGGAAAGGAAAAGGGAAAGGGAAAGGGAAAGGGAAAGGGAAAGGTTTTCCCTTGACATGAATGTCTAGTCATAACCAACTGTAGGGGCAGTGCTCATCTCCATTACTAAGCCGAAGAGCCAGCGTTGTCTGAAGACAAATCCAGTGGTCATGTGGCAAGCATGGCTGCACCGAACGCTGTTACCTTCCCACCGAAATGGTACCTATTTATCTACTTGCATTTGCATGCTTTCAAACTGTTAGATTGGCAGAAGCTGGGACTAGTGACAGGAGCTCATCCCATCATGCAGCAACCAGGCATCGAACTGCCAATCTTCTGATCTTACAATTGTCAGAACTGGCATCTTTGTAACATCCTACATTTTGCCTGAATGCTCTCCGTTTTGCGGTGCCTTCCCCTCTTTTGCGATTATGACATCTGTCATAATCATTATTGGGAACGAGCAGTGGAAGCGGAGTTGAACCCACTCCTGCTCTGCTGTGGTTCTGACAAAATCTTATTGGACTGGAAAGAAATTTCTGGTGGCACTTGGGGATTGTTCCCTTCCCCCAAGCAAGTATCTGCCACAGGAAAAGGGGATTTTCCACAAGAACACAGCAGGGGAGAAATGGTTTTAATTATCTCTCTATGCTGGCTCTGATCCTGTTAATTATCAGCTGCCTCCCTACATCACCAGCTCATGCAAGCTGTCTTGTTGTGGTGGTGGTGGTTGTGGTTGTGGTTGTTAACCGCCATCAAGTCAACTTATGGAAACCCTTTGAATGAGAACCCCAGAAATTGTTAG